CGCCCCCCCTCCCCCCACCCTGTTTAAGATTAATCTTGTGGTCCTAGGGATTGAGTTTAATCCTTACGGGTATACATCATATAGTGATAAGCAAAAAACTGTGGAATAGAAAGACGACATTTAAGTAAGCATTTTATGTTGTTACATAGCAAATAGTTTACCAATAACTTATAAAATCACTTATTTAGTGAAATAGGTCTATATCACACTGCACAATTGGTGTGTCTAATGTTAATTGGACTTTTAAAGTCATGACTTAAAGTCGTCTTCCTATTCAAGAGTGTTAGGGTTCTCACTGTATTTCAAGTTTGACCAAGCAGAAGCAACAAAAACATCTGCGCTCAGGCCAACTGGAGATTAACTAGCTGTCTGATATAGCACTTACTCGCTTTAATTAAAAAGTTTTCACTATGGATATCGAGCTCAACCGGTGTAGATCATTAATGCTTTCTCGTACTAAAGTTCCAATGGTGTTTTACAAAATAAAAACTTTATTCAAATCTGCCTTTATCACTAAAAAGGACTGTAGGCATAATGTGCCCGATTTCGAGTAATATATGTAACGTCAGTCGGGCTGAGTTCACACTGATCACTATCGTCCACTATTGTACGTTTTTTTTGGCAATTTGAACATCATTTTAGAGATCAACATACTAATATCTCCGCTCAGGTTTAAATTGTACGGTTGTGAATCAAGCATTGCCTCTCTTAGCACAGAGGGTTCGGTAAAAAAAGTCATTTTTTGGAATCATAGGAAAAAAATCACTTGAATATTTGTGTAAAGACAAAGTTAAAAAAGAAAGTTTAAAATGAAAAAAGTTTTGCGAATTTTTAGAATTAATTTCGNAATACATATACATTTTATTCTTAAAGGGAGTGACCGGCAGTGTATGGTAGTTAAACTGAGAATGTAGTATTGTAGAAAATAATTTTAGGATTAATTTGAGACGTGCTAATGATGTGTAATTACGAAGTTTGAGCGCAAAGTCAATGTTCAAAATCATCCATTTAAGTTGTTAGTTTTTTAAAATTACTAAATAACGACGACAAAAATGTATCAAAAATTCTACAGTCTCATTGTTCACAAAATGTTTGCTGTACATTTCCCAGAATTTCTGTTGAAAATACGGCATTTGAAGATATCTACGAACAAACTCTTTAAGAATCAGAAAACATTATAATATTGAAAAAGAAATAATTGATTCTAATATTGATTTATTGACAAATTTCTATTGAGAAATAAGTTCCTAAACATCTAATTAGTTTACTGTCGATTTTTCAAAAACTTTTTTTGTCGTCGTTATTTAATAATTTAAAAAAATCAATTCTCAAAACGTAACCACCCAAATGGATGCATTTGAACGTCGACTTAAAACGTTTTATGTCTCAAATGAATCCTAATAAATTTCTCCACAATACTACATTCTCAAACTTACATTAACAGTAACATTTTGCCGTGGAACGGGGTGAAGGAGTATGGGGGAGGGGTGGGGGGGAGTCCTGAATTTCAAAGTTCTGTTCAAAGTTGGGTTGGCTCCCCATAATAAATTTGAAAAGTTTAAATACATAAATATCATTCAAGGATTAAACTTAATCCCATGGAGAGCTTACACTGATAATGTTGGTGATGTATGTGGTGTCGGAGGGACAATCCATCTTCTCCGCCAGCAACAGAGCTCTCCGCCTCGCCTCCGCCTTGGTAATTAGTCCCCAAGGATTTAAACCTAAAATATTTTGTGATTGATTTTAACAAATTTTATTCCGGCTACCAGTAAGTACTGCCATGTCGGGTCAACTTTTATTGGACTGAGCCCGTTCTCTCCATAGAAAGGGGTCGTGTAGTTCACGTACTTTGGGGGACGATATGTTGGCCGCTAGATGTCTCATGCTAAATTCTTATCTAATAGATAGATAATTCTCCGTACATTTGACGATCAAAATAGGAGACGTCAAGTTATCGACCATTTTAGTTTATGGAAGGAGCGGCCTCTGGTTCGTCAAACTGTACTGTACCATGTACTGTCCTGTACCGTACGTTTAAAAAATTCAAATTAAATGAACGTTGTTTAAGACAAGGGCTTAAGGTTCCTTAGTAAAATTTTCCGTCGCTCAGTTTCATATAACTTTTTTATTTTAAAAGTATAAGCTTAAATTCCAGTATAGAATCCAGCAGTAATTTTCTATAGAATTTGATTTTCAGAGATTCAATATATTTTGCTCTTTTGTTAAGTATTGAAAGTTTTCAAAGGAATTTTTATATATTGTACATTTAGAATAGATAAAGAAAATTTTATATACCAAACTGTTTGATAGATTTAGGATTTTCCTATCTACTCCGTCAACTACTTGGTTCCACTCCCCTCCATTTTTATCTACTCCGTCAACTAACCGACTTAAACTCACCTCCATGTTTATCTACTCCTTCAACTACTTGCTTCCACTCCCCTCCATCTTTATCTACTCCGTCAACTACCCGACTTGAACTCACCTTCATATTTACCTACTTTATCAACTACTTGGTTCCACTCCACTCCATGTGCATCTTCCTCCATCAACTACCCAGCTTCAACTCAACTCCATATCTACCTACTCCTTCAACTACTTGCTTCCACTCCCCTCCATGTTTATCTACTCCTTCAACTTCTTGGTTCCACTCCACTCCATGAGCATCTACTCCATTCAAACAAGGGCGTATACGGGGGGGGGCAAGGGCGGCAGTGCCTCTTCCTAGAATTCAGAGCTATCTCACTTCTCAAATCTTACACTGAAGAGTTTGCTGAGGTGATTTTTAAAAAAGGCAAAAAAAATACTAAATTTTTTAGCCTATATGACACCCGAAGGCCAAGGGTACCCATGAGTTTCCTCAAAAAAATTTAGTTCATTTGGTTCAGCCGTTTGGCCAGCCATGCGAACATATAAATGAAAGAATAGATTACAATTGTACCCTTACTTTTTTTCACCACAGTTTTTCATTTTAAAAATGTCTTTTACTATCTCGAAAGTAAAAATACTAAAATAACTGTATGTGTACCTTTAAAAAGTATACTCATACTTATGCCTGATATCCAAGAAGCCAAATATTTTGAATTTTAATCCCCCCTCCACAGGTGCTCCTATTGGGTGAGGGGAAATTTTTTTGTTGCGCTTTGCACACATTTGGCTCCAAGCTCCACCCCTAGATTTATTTCTGATGATGAAGCTTCTTCTAGTTCTGATGCTTCTCCACAGGTTGGTTCTTCTGATCCTGTTTCTGGTGTTTCATCTGAGATTGATGCTTTACCAGAAGAATATCGTAATTTCCCCAAACTTGGAGAGGGCACTTTTCCCACTGGAGTTTTGTGAACCTTAAGAAATTGAAATTTGTTATGGTGCTTCAGCACAGGAGAAACGGGAAGCAGTGGACTTAGAGGAGGACCAGAAATAAGAGAATTATCCAGCCAAGGATGTTTTCGTGACATGAAAGTGAATTCATGTCTACCTACTCCGTGAACTACTGCTCCATGTATACCTACTCCGTGAACTACTGCTCCATGTAAACCTACTCCATGACCTACTGCTCCATGTCTACCTACTCCATGAACTACTGCTCCATGTATACTTACTCCGTGAACTACTGCTCCATGTATACCTACTACGTGAATACTGCTCCATGTATACCTACTCCGTGAACTACTGCTCATGTCTACCTACTCCGTGAACTACTGCTCTATGTCTACCTACTCCGTGAACTAATGCTCTGTGTATACCTACTCCGTGAACTAATGCTCCATGTATACCTACTCCGTGAACTAATGCTCCATGTATACCTACTCCGTGAACTACTGCTCCATGTATACCTACTCCGTGAACTAATGGTCCATGTTAACCTACTCCGTGACTACTGCTCCATGTAAACCTACTCCGTGAACTAGTGCTCCATGTCTACCTACTCCGTGAACTAATGCTCCATGTCTACCTACTCCGTGAACTACTGCTTCATGTCTACCTACTCCGTGAACTACTGCTCCATGTAAACCTACTCTGTGAAATACTGCTCCATTTAAACCTACTCCTTGAACTTGCTCCGTGTTAACCTACTCCGTGAACTAATGCTCCATCTCTACTTACTCCGTGAACTAATGCTCCATGTCTACCTACTCCGTGAACTACTGCTACATGTCTACCTACTCCGTGAACTAATGCTCCATGTCTACCTACTCCGTGAACTAATGCTCCAAGTATACCTACTCCGTGAACTACTGCTCCAAGTATACCTAGTACTACCTACCTGTAGCTGACTGCAGGATGGCTCGATGGAAAAGGTTTGCTGAGAGCGGAGAAACAAGATGGAACCCTACACTAGCAGATCCGGCGCTTTCTGAAATCATTTAAATTTATACCAGTTTGTAGAGTGTAATGATCTGTAATATACATCTGAACTTCATCTAGTTTATTTAATCAACCTATTGCAAACTAGTTTTATATAGTTTGTCTATATGTATTATATAAATGTGTACTTTTTTCTTAAATATATTTTGATAAATCTGTTTTTTTTCCTGAAAAGCATCGCGTGCGGAAGATACATAAGAGGTGAGAACTTTAAAAAAATCTCCTGGAAAAACCTATTCTGTTTAAACTGAATAAGTTTAGTCATTTAGATGTTTTAGAAGATTTAAGAGTCGGAAGCCACAAGCTGCTTTCTGCCAAAGCAAGCCACTTATTGCTAGTCGTTAAAAATCAAAAGTTTAGTCCTGTGTTACATTTTTAAGCGCCATTTTGTTAAAAGGGGGGAAAGGCAAACCACACCTTTTTTTGGTCTGCACCACAATTAATTATTTTTTCCGACCACACACGTTTTTCTTCGTCTGGGCTTCTGTGTTTTCAAATGTATTTTGTTATGACTTAACAATTTTTTTTAATGTCAAAAATATCTTAAAATCCAATATTAAAAATGAAATAAATGGGACTGCCCCCGCTGTGCCCTAATTTTTTTCAGTTTTCAGGGGGGATGTCAGCTCAATTTCCAGGGAGAGGGCGTCAAATACATCATTAAATTGCTTAACTGTGGTTTTCCTAGTCCACAGATTTATATGTCTCACTGTATTAAAGGATCTGAGGTCTGAGAATGGAATATTGTCTAAGTTTATCAAACCTTGTATTCTCCTCATTAGACAATAGACATTACTCCAGATCTAGTCCAAATTTAAAGAAACTGTGACTCCATTTCTTGAGTATTTGATTCACAAGGCTTTGGGACTGACCAGATTTAATAAAGTTCTTTTTATATCTCACTTAATAACTCTTTATAACACAAACTTTTATTTTGGTTCGCAGTGTTATAAAGTTTTTGGGACCTAAATTTACTCTTCATCAAGAACCTTCGAGATATAAAAAAAAAATTTAAGTCCAAAACTTTAAAGCACGTCGTGCCAAAATATTAGTGTTATAGGTAATTTTATGAAACGTTTGTGTACTTGTCTTATTTCAATGTACTTGTTTTATTTCAATGTACTTGTCTTATTTCATTGTACTTGTCTTACAATGTACTTGTCTTATTTCAATGTACTTGTCTTATTTCAATGTACTTGTCTTATTTCAATGTAATTGTCTTATTTCAATGTACTTGTCTTATTTCAATGGCTATTTCTAGATTAGATATGTTTTGAAACAAACCAAAATATAAAGTTGATTTCAATTTTATTTTCATTTCAATTGAAAAAAATATTTTGGAAGTATCCAAATTTTTATCCAAAATGTTTTGGATAAAATCCGGGAATCAATTAAAACTTTATAGCACGTTCATTATGAAATTCACGATGAAATTATGAATTATGAAATTATGAAATTCACGATGAAGGGATGAAGAATGATAAAGTACACAAAAGTTTCATAAAATATATTCGGAAGGGGCAGTAAACTAAATTTTTAAATAACTCTGGCATCAACACATGTTTAACAGTATTTAATGTGGTATATTCCTTTAAAGTAAAGAAATAAGGAAACCGCGTCTTATAAAAAAAATTTTAAAAAGTGAATTGGGGCGGCCGCCGTTTTTTATTTAATGACTTTGAACTTTTTTTGAGTGAGGATTAAAGAAGATATAGACCATAGAGTTGTTATTCTATAAAATTATTAGAAATATCTAAAAAAAAAGGTTCTATGGAATAAGTTTTTTGATAAGAAAAGTTTGAGTTCTAATTTTCTAAACTTCTAGAAGGTCCCTAGAGAAACATAATTTATCTTGATAGAGTTATAAATATGTCTTTCATCTGCACTTTCAGAACAACTTTTCTCCCAGAAATTATTATTTTAGGGATTGTATCCTCATTTGAAATAACTCTTCATTTCTAATGCCCGTTCGATCATCAACGGTACCCTTAGAGGCTTTTTCTAATCTAGAACAATTGTAGAATTTTGAGTGACAATTTTTATGTAAGTCTTTTTTGTTGCTTCACCATTGATAAAAAATACTCAATATACTTTTTATTCTCAGGTTGTGTACTATTTTCTATGCGGAGAAACGAAGAAAAAAAATAATTATTAGTTTAGCCGTTCCCAATCCTACAGGGAATAAAGAGTACTCAATATATTCTGTGTTCTGCCTTTAAAATTATTCTATTTTTTAGACGATTTTCGATCCTTACAACGCATAATTGCAAATTCAATTCAAAACTTTATGAAAAAAGTATAAAAAACATTTGAATTTCTAAAAAATATTATTTAAAAAATTAAAAAACAGTGTGTCTGCTTAAAAGGGAACAGCAAGGACATGTAGCGCCAAAATTCGACTAGCGGCCATCAAAGAAATTACTAAACTACAGGGTGTCCCAAAAAACATGGGAATTCAGTGACGAATTCGATATCGTCTTTGTTAATAATTAGCATTGTAATACCTTTGCAAGATGAACAGTGAAGACGGACAAGTTTACTCTGTTAGACTGTTTGTATACTGCAATTTTCTTGTTTTACTAAGTACAACCGTTTGCAGTCAAAACATAAACAAACAAAATGTGAACATAGCAGACGAAACTCTTACAGATTACAGCTTTCTCAGTGGGTATCACTATACTAAATCAAAGAACTATTTAAAAAGACGATATCGAATTCGTCACTGAATTCCCATGTTTATTGGGACACCCTGTATCATAAAATACAATATTATATAAGGGATACAAGGTTATACTGACAAAAACTGATACTTTTGAATCGATCTTTTGATATCATTTACGCAAACCAAAATTAACCTTTAAGGTCGTCCTTAAACTTGTATTTCCTATGGACAACTCTGCACTTTTTGAAAAAAATATTATCGAACTTCTAAAATAATTTTAAAATTATGAGAAGAATGTTAGATATATCTAACAAATTTTTATATTTCTAGCATTCTATTCATAATTTTTCACAACATGTTAGAGGTTCTTATCAGTTAGAATGTATAAGATAGATTGTAATCGTATGTTCAACTAACCCTCTATGCAAAGATACCAATTCTCAATTGAAACCTTGACCTGATTAATTATATAGAAAATATTGTCGTATTCTGGGCTTAAATACGTTTAATACGTATACTTTCCTGCAGCAGAGTTGCGCAAGCCACTTTTGAGAATTAACAGTTTTAAAATTTACAAACATTGATATCTAATTGATTATTCATACTTGATATTCCTACTCTATTCCAAAGTTTTGTCTGAATGTATACCTGAGAAAAGAGTTATGCTTCCTGGATCCCCTCCGAACCCTCGAATATTATTCTTAATCCAGGTTAGAGCCATCACTTGATCCATCAGTCCAGCATTCCCAGGTACATCCTTCAAATAGAATATATTTATTCCTTGATCCATGAGTCCAGTATTCATCCATCCTTTAAATAGAATATATTATTCCTTGATCCATGAGTCCAGTATTCATCTATCCTTTAAATAGAATATATCATTCCTTGATCCATGAGTCCAGTATTCATCCGTCCTTTAAATAGAATATATTATTCCTTGATCCATGAATCCAGTATTCATCCATCCTTTAAATAGAATATATTTATTAAAGAAAAACTAATATATCCTTCAGAGAAATACTATAATATAATATTTACGAGTCAGACCAATATTCATTTAGAAAACAGGGAAAAAGAGATATTTTGTAGAAAAATAAAGTTTTTAACACATAATTATTTGGTCGAGCAAGAAATGTTTATACAGTATTTTTATTTAGTACTTGTACAGGAAAATAAAATGATTTTTTTAGTATTTTCTAGTAAAATAGAGATCTTTTATCTTTTTTTAAGATTTATTTAAAAAATGTTTTTTAAACAAAATTTTAAAAAGAGCAGTGATTATCTTTTTATTTGATCATACATACATGATCTGTTCCCATAGAGAATAGAATATATATTAGACGGGAATTTAAAGAATCTCTCGGTATGAATTTTTTCAGTCCCTTTCAGCCTGAAAGGAAGTTCAAAGTGTACAAATCATGTAAATGTTCACAAATTATATGCAGTAGAGTACATTAATACAGTATGTTCCCTAGACTATTCATTTCAATTTCGAATTTTTTAAAGCTGTTAAATAAACTTTATAATNAACCTGAATCTACACAAAATACAAAATATTGAAAATATAAAAATATGGATCGGTTAAGAATTTAGAATTTTTTACTAAACATTTCCTCTCCAAGGGGAAAAAAAATTTCTGTTCTAATTGGTGGATTTTCAAGATTGGTAAAAATTGTTGTTTTTTTGATCAAGTAAGTCTGCAGTTTAAAAGGAAGCTAGGTAAGTTTCTAGTGTAAAGGCCTGACCAACTCAGCATTAAAGGTCCTTAATGTTTATTTTACTGCCTCAAACCGAGAAACTAAATAAATGATATAAACCACACGTTTAAAGATAGTTTTGTCAATTCCTTTAGATACTTTCTTAGCACAAGTAAGAGTTGAACTACAAATATAATTTTCATCAAACTTGGTCTACCTTGAAATAATATATTATTAAATCCAAAATATATTAAGGAAAGGAGAAGGGTGTAACAGGATAGAACAATATGGAGCAGGATAGAACAATATGGAGCAGGATAGAATAGTATGGAGCAGGATAGAACAGTATGGAGCAGGATAGAACAGTATAGAGCAGGATAGAATAGTATGGAGCAGGATAGAACAGTATGGAGCAGGATAAAGGAGTAGTGAGATGTATTAATATGAATTAGATTGAAGGTTGGAAAGAGTTGGATGTATTAATGGAGAAATCTAAAAGTCAAATTAAAACTGTAAGAGTAAGATGTATTAATATGGATTTAAATCAAGGTTGGCTAGAGTTGGATGTATTAATGGAGTAATCTGAGAACCGAATGATCACCGTAAGAGTAAGATGTATTAATATGGATTTAAATTAAGGTTGGCTAGAGTTGGATGTATTAATTTAGTTAACTAAAAACAAATGATCACCGTAAGAGTAAGATGTATTAATATGGATTTAAATTAAGGTTGGAGAAGACTGGACAGCTAATAATGGAATAGAACACCCTGAACTAACAAGAGAGAGAAGCATTCGGTTTCTTTTATTTGAAATCAAACGTGTTTTCGTCTATAACTCAACAGTCTTAAGACTTACAGATTTGTTTATTTAATACTTTTTCATTCAAAATATATATGCCAACAAAAATATTTAAGATAAAATGCTATAGAATTATGTAAAAGGGGCCAAATTGTGATCGAAAGTCACAGTTTTCTGAAATATTGACAGAACCGTTAAATCCACGTGAGAAAGGTTTATGCAGGATTGAAACTGCGTATGGGATGAATTTGAGTCGGACGAATTTTCTCTTAATAGGATAGGATAGAGTAAATCTAGGACANTATCTGTATCTGTATCTGTATCTGTATCTGTATCTGTATCTGTATCTATATCGGTATCTGTATCTGTATCGGTAACAGTATCGGTATTGGTATCGGTGTTGGTATAGCTATCGGAATTGCAATTGGTACCCCTATCGGTATCGCTATCGGTATTGTTATCGGTACCACTATTGGTATGGCTATCAGTATCCCTATCGCTGCCGGTATCGGTATTGGTATTGGTATCGGTATCAGTATTGGTATCGGTATCAGTATCAGTATTGGTATCGGTATCAGTATCGCTATCGCTATCGCATTTGTCATCGCTATCCTTACTTTTGTATCAAGGAAGAGAAACCCTAATGATGCAACCCTGTACTGGATTGATGCAACAATTATATTTCTCTCCGAAGCCAGGATTTTAGGATCGTATAGCTCCAGGGTTGAGGTTCCGGAGTAAAATGAACCTCCATAAATCCAAACCTAAAATTAATTAAATAATTGTTCAAATATCTATAAAAAAAATTCCAAAAACTATTAACACTTTTTGTCTTTAAACTTCAAAATCCAAAAACCATTGGAAATATAAATTCATTAAAAATTGGTCACTGCATGACACCCATAGACATCATAGAAACATCACAGACACAAATAGTGTCTATGATACACCAATTCTATATCATATTATTCAGAGCGTCCCACATCATATCAGATAATCTCCAATCTTTAACGCTAAAATACGCACATAATACTCGAAAAATCTAGCATTTTCTGCAAAAAAAATTAGCCTTATTAAATTTTTCAAAATGATTCATTCTTCTTAAATTTTCTGATTTGTCCCCCAAATCGTAATTTAGACCCATTGACGCAGTCTAATTTGATGTGGGACACCCTGTAAATCCATGGCTTTAATAGCAACTTAGCAAGTGACTGGCAAATTTCTCAGAGCGGATTGCCATTGGTGTGAATTGTTTAAGGCATTCTGAAATCTCTTTTAGGACTTTTTATAAACATGACTTGATCTTAGCAAGACCTTAAGAGTTAAAGGGAGTGTTCGCGAAAAATGAAAGGAGGTATAGGCCTAAGTCGAAAATATAGAAGTAAGATTAGTAGCAATCACCATAGATTATTTTTTGATGTAAGCCTATACCCCGTTCATGTTTCGCAAACACTCCCTTTAAAAAGTGCACTGAATATAACTATATTCAAAGCCAATTAAAATTAAGAATTAAATAAAAACGCTAATTTGCGAGAAAAAAAAATTGGCAATGGTATTAGATTAGATAAGAAGAAAGAAAAGTTTATTTAACGTGAAATAAACAATTGCAATTTGTTTATTTTTAAATCAGTTTAAAGTGTAATAAATGTTGTCATTCATCGGGATTTGTGTACATTGTATTTGTTTTGTAAACATATATATATATATTTTTGTTTCTTGGACTGTTCTCTCTTTATATTATTTTACCCTATATTTGTACAGCTTTATTCTGATTTTGTTTATTGTTTTAGTTTTACAACATGGCTATTTTGATTATTAATTTTTAATGTATTCTCAATTTTACAGAAATTCATCAGCAATTTGAAGATGTTTTGGGTTACAACGAAATACAGGGTGTCCCACGAAACAATACGGTTGGTGAATTGTTTTGAATGTCTTCTTCCACATACTGAATTAGATATTAAAGATTTTTTGCAGTTTATTTCATTAAAAAAATGTTAAACTCATATATATTTTACTGTGAAATCAATTTTATCATAGTATAACTGTCATATAAAAATGTTATTAGTCTCTTTAGTATCAAATTATGGAAGAAGATATTTTAAACTATTCACCATCTGTCATGTTTCGTGGGACACCCTGTTTATTATGGTGAAAATGACAGTTGATTAAAACCTAGAGTGATAAGTTGATTAGGAGAGAGTATAATTATAAAATCATTGATTAATTAAAAAAGGTTTATAAAAAGAACCTAAAGGTTAAGAAAATTAATATTTTTCTAATAATCTATAAGCAAAGATTGTTAAGAAAAGCAAAATATGGGTTTTACTCACCATAACTGGAAGGTTTTTGTTGTAAGCTCCGGCTGGTTTAGTTATACTCAGATACAGGCAATCCTCGCTTATCGGAGTATTATAAACCCAAACCTTCTCTCCTGAACCACATCTTGTTTATCTCGGATTTAAGTTAAATAAAAACAAAAAACCTCCATTTTTCTTCTATATGGGACCGTCTACATAATTTAATTGATATTCACAACATTTTCAACAATAACTTAAAACAACTATTGTATAGCTTTGTTTTTGACAAAGAACAATCTATTGTTAATCGTTAATGGTCCTCTTTGATGTCACATAGATATGCATTGAAAAAATCCCTTTTATTCCATTTTTTTGTAGAATTAGTAGAATTATTTTGACATTTATTTTATGGCCTTGACATATCTTATAATTTGACTTTTGAACATTCCGGAGTTATTTTGTCTCTACCCCACCCCTCTCTACTCCCACCATTCTGTATCATGTATCCTCACTTTTCCATCTTGTATCTTGTATCCTGTATCCTGTATCCTGTATCCTGTATCCTGTATCCTGTATCCTATATCCTGTATCCTGTATCCTGTATCTTGTATCATGTATCCTCTATTTTGTATCCTGTATCCTGTATCCTGTATCCTGTATCCTGTATCCTGTATCCTATATCCTGTATCCTGTATCCTGTATCTTGTATCATGTATCCTCTATTTTGCATCTTGTATCCTGTATCCTGTATCCTGTATCATGTATCCTCTATTTTGCATCTTGTATCCTGCATCCTGTATCCCACCTCCCATATTCCTGGTTCACAGTTTTACGTACAAAATGGTTTCCTGGGTGTCCTGGGAAAGATATCCCGGAAATCTGGATACAACTGTTCGGTTTTCCGGTAACATTCTTTACACCAGTCCAGGGCTTGATAGGACGCGGATGCTGAAACCTGGAAAATACAATGATACAAAAAAAAACAGGAATAATTCTCGTCTTTGTGTTTTTTGAACTCGACACATTCTCTTTTTTAAATCCACTTTGAAACCTGAGCTGGGAACTTTTGAATGGTGGATCTCGGGATTAATGCTTGATCCACTCTTTTTCTTAATCTCCAGTTTAAATAATGCTTGTTCTCTTCTTCTTATTAATTTCCCGATTAGATAACCGATCGGGGTTATGGATATCCCATTCTAAAGTTTTCATCTCATGTCGTAAACCTTTAATATTTCAAACCATGGCTTGTACAAGATCTAATAAAATGTACACAACATCATGTACAAAGATAAAGAAACTAGACAATTATATTTAGTGGCTAGTGTTCAATTCTTCAATTATGGAGATGTTAATCTTCAGATTAGTATAATCTTTATTTTGATAACCGGGAAAGTGTCAGAAGTCACCAATCAGAGTGTAGCTTGCATAAACCAAACAGCAAATCAGAAGCCGGGAAATTTTGCGCACAACCACAGAGAGAACTCTCATTGGTCAGAACCCAACAGGGATATCCAAAAGAGAGGATTAAGCAGAACTTCCAAAGCGCCCCTAGTGGATATTGAGATTAATCGAACGGGATTACAAAAGTTTCCGGCTCAGAGGTCAAATTTTAGTGTGAATTAACTTTGACAGCTCAAACAATTCACCACGGGATATTGAAGAGGAATTATTTTTGCATTTGCCATATAGCTGGTGCTGGAGTATGATTTAAAGAAAATAAAGTTAAAGCATGCTATTTAAAATGTATCCGTCGCATGGATTGAAAAATGTTTTATTATGTAATCTATATCTGGACATCCTTAAAATTTAATTTTTAATTTAATTTAATTTTAAGAATCTTATCCTTCATTGTAAAAAACCTGTATTGGATGAACAAAGCCACTTGAAAAAAAAACTGAATGCGGTGATTTTAAACTTTTGTCTGAATTACTTCACATATACAGCCTGTTTAAGAAAAATAATTATTATCTTCCAGGAGAGAGTGAAGAAATTTAGTGGGTTTCTAGGGTTTTGATGAGATCAAAATGTCCCACTCGAATAATGAACTGATAAATCTTAGCGGATTTCTGATGATTTTTTAGCGGATTTTTTTGCCTTTACTTTGCTACATTTTCTAAAATTTCTAAAAGAATAAATGTTGGCAAAATCTATATTTTTTTGCGCCAGAATGTAAAAATGTTTTGTTAACTGTAAAATTAGTACCTGAGTTCTCCTACTGGGGGTTGAGCAAAGGGAATTCTATCCCAGACATCAACCTCCTTCCCTAGATCACTCCGGAGAGTCTCTCCCCGAACCTTCCCGTCCTTAGTCTGAACTATTATCCGATCCTCTCCGTGCAGGACGGTTCCGGAGCTCAGTAGGAGTAGAACTATCCACATTATTTACAGTTCAACATTTCTAAACAAAATTATTCATTATTTGTTTATCATCAATATTTTAGAAGATTTTCTGAGATACAGTTTATCCACGAAGGAAAAAACTTAAATAAAAACATGAAACTCTTAAAAACTATTAGATTAGTAGATTCAACGGTACCAGTATAAATGTCTGACCCACACACGTCGGAGAGTACGAACGTCGGTACAGTACAAACGTCGGTACAGTACAAACGTCGGTACAGTACAAATGTCGGTACAGTACAAATGTCGGTACAGTACAAACGTCGGTACAGAAAGGAATTGAGTTCTTGTCACTAACTCAAATATTTTCATCCTTACAATTTTGCAACCTGATGGTATTTTTGATGTATACTTTCAAACTTAAACTGTTTGATCTTATCATAGATTTCATAGGTTGAAATATCAAAGTTCGACGACATCGGATTGCAAAGATATTGAAGATATAGACATTGAAACATCAGAGTTTGTGACAAGAACTCAACTCCTTTTTGGTTTGTTGTTTATATGCAGTGCTATCTTCACAGGGTTGAGAGTGGGACTTTATTCAGGTATCTTTGATTTTTATCACAATAAGTGACTAAATTAATTTCTTATAGCAATGGTCATTTTTTTCAAACTCAACCAAAGTCCGACGTTTTCCCTTATAAATGTACCCGTCCGGCATTTGTACTAGTGCGACGTTTGTACCAGTCTGACGTTTGCACCAGTCCGACGTTAGTGCTGTCCGACCTTTGTAAGTCCGACGTTTGTACTGTCCGAACTTTTTAGCGTCCGGCGTTTATGGGTCCGACGTTTGTACTGATCACTTTTATATTATAGTCTTTTGAATCCGTACTTTTGAAGGTAACCGGATATAAAAACCTAAATATTCCTAAAAATGTTTTATTCCCACTGAAAAACTCAAACATCTTTACAATCTTTGATTATTTTAATTGACAAAATTCGTAGTGTGAAATTTTAATGTTTTGACAATATGCTTTAAAGATTTATTTTATTATTCTTAAAAATTTATTAAAAAATCTCTTCTTTATTAAAAGAATGTACTTTAAATTAAAATTCACTAAATAACTTTTCATTCATGTTTTTTAAAGAAGCTTTTTCATTCTATATTATTTAACAATAACAATTAAAACTTTTTCAGATTTTCCAATTTTTATCGGGAAATTTTTAAAATATTAAAAATGGAGGCATGTAAGTTTAATCACCAACATTTTAGCAGAATCAGTTCAGACACTTATTGGAAACAAAACAACAAACAGAAAAAAATAAATTTATCAATTCTATTTTATTGAAAACTAGAGATTTAGCTGCTGTGTGTTTTCATTCCTTAATACCATTTAATGTATTAACATCCATAAAAGAAATGATGTTGCAGAAGTAATAAAAGAATTAGTTTAAAACCAAAAAATCTTTAATTTGGAACCTTCTCGATAAAGAAATTGAGTGTTTGCCACAAACTCAAACTTTATAATTTCTAAATTTTTGCATCTAGATGGTGAAAACCTTTTTATTTGATCTACAATAAATTCATAGTTTAAAATATTTAAGTTTAACGACATTGGGGTTTAAAGCAAAAGATATTGAAAGGAATTGAGTTTTTGCCACAAACTCTGCTTTTCTAATTTCAATATCGTTGCAACCCAAGGTCGTAGACCTTTAATATTTCAAACTATGAATGCTTATAGATCAAATAATGTAAGTTTGAAATATCAAAGGTTTACATCATAAGGTTGCAAAGATATAGGTTTTACAAAAACTGAATTTGTGGCAAAGACTCAATTCCTTTGACTTATGTCAATTAAAACACAAACATTTTAGCCAAATACAGGTTAATTCCAATTTATTAATTGTTTTTTTTTATTAAATGCGTTAATTAATGAAAGCGGAAAATACAATCGTAAAAAATGTTTTGGTTTTCTTTTTCATTGGTGGATTTTCATAATTTCAAGAAATTTGTTAAAATTTTGATCAGTCTTTTCCATGGGCCCGATCGGTTCAGCCGTTTTGACGTTTATTGGATACAATAATTATCACGCAAAAGTATCACTAGAATTTAGTTTAAACTATAGAAATATTAATTTGGAACCTTCTTGATAAATATCTCTGGTCTGTCGAATAACGTTTAAGTTTTTTTTTAAATTATATAAATTTGAATTTTGTGTTTTCTCAACGTGGTCCGAAGTTTGACTGGAAATGAATGAAAATAACTGATTGTTTTAAATTATCGTAACACCGGAAATTCTCATTAATTTGTTATTTGTGCACAAGTCAGGCCTCTCAATCTATTCTTCTCTGAGTTTATATTTTTTATTTTATATTTAATCCTGATCAAGGAGATATATTTAATCCAAGTCAAAGATATATCTGATATTTAATCCTAATCCAGGAGATATTTAATATTTAATCCTAATCAAGGAGATATCTGATATTTAATCCTAGTCAAGGAGATATATTTAATCCAAGTCAAAGATATATCTGATATTTAATCCTAATCCAGGAGATATTTAATATTTAATCCTAGTCAAGGAGATATATTTAATCCAAGTCAAAGATATATCTGATATTTAATCCTAATCCAGGAGATATTTAATATTTAATCCTAATCCAGGAGATATTTAATATTTAATCCTAATCCAGGAGATATTTAATATTTAATCCTAATCAAGGAGATATTTAATATTTAATCCTAATCCAGGAGATATTTAATATTTAATCCTAATCAAGGAGATATCTGATATTTAATTCTAGTCAAGGAAATATATTTAATCCTAGAGGAGATATATTTAATCCTAGAGGAGATATATTTCATCCTATTATTGTTGTTGCTGATGATCCAAATCTCATAGGGTAATTAAACTAGGTGTTTGTTACACATTTTTTGAAAATATATTTCGGTGGACACATTGGATTTTTTCTTTTGGATATCCCTGCTAGGTTTCGACCAATCAGAGATCTCTTATTAATTGCGCGCAAAGGAGTTGAGTTTTTGCCACAAGCTCTGATTTTCTAATCTCTATATCTTTGTAACCCAATGTCGTAGACCTTATATATTTCAAACTAGTAATACTTATAGATAAGTTAATCTAAGTTTTAAATATCAAAGGTTTGAACCATCAGGTTGCAAAGATATTGGGATCAGAAGATTTGAGTTTGTGGCAAAAACTCAATTCCTTTTCCAAGCTTCTGGTTCGCTGTTCAGTTCGACAATCTGATTAATTGAATTTTAGACATTTTCCCGAATATCAAATAAAGATTAGATTAATCCGCAGATTATTTAACAATAAGATGAAGCATTGATCTTGATATCCACAATACAAGAGATTCCAGCTCTGGTTTTCAAGCTCCCGGTATATGTTTAAAGGTACAGACCGGCTATGTAAGGTAGTTAAACTGAGTATGCAGTGCAGTTGTGGACAAATTCTTTAGAATTCATTTGAAACATATTAAACTTTTTAAAGATCTGTAAATTCTGAGTTTGAGCGCAAAGTAGACGTTCAAAATGGTACTTTTGGGTGGATACGTTTTCAGAATGTTTTTTTTTTTAATTATTAAATACTGACGACAAAAAATATAAACAAAATTCTACAGTAAACTAATTAGTTGTTTAGGAACAGGTTGAGAAAAAAAGTAATCTTGTTTAATTATTAGTTTCTATTTTCTCATTATTCTAGTCTCTCATTATTCACAAAGAGTTTCTGCAGATTTTCTGGAATTATTCAATATAAAGATGAAAATGAAAAAATTGATTCTAGCATTCATTTATTGAAAAATTTCTTTTGAGAAATATGTTCATAAACATCTAATTAGTTTACTGTATAATTTTTACTTTTATTTTTCGTCGTTGTTATTTAATAATTTTAAAAAATCGATTCTGAAAACCTACCCACCCGAATTCATGATTTTGAACGTCCTAAAGAATTTGTCCACAACACTTCATACTCAGTTTAACTACCTTACATAGCCGGTCTGTCCCTTTAAAGAATGTTAAAGCCTGGTATTCCCCCTGGTATCCAGGATGATACTCTATCAAAACTATTCTAAAAATATTTCTATTTCTTATTTTCCTTCAGAAAATTCTTCAAATAATCAGACACTTGATTTCTCAGTCTTTGATCTTTGATCCAGTTATTATGATGGAGGGGAATTCTTTTCTTTTCTCAACAATAGCAATACTCAAATTTTTTAAATTTATCAGTATTAAAGGGACTGTAAGCGTACTTTAAAGTGGTCCTCCATGCAAAGAAGACAATGCCCGATTCACAGCGGTACTCTCGAAACCTTTATCTGATCAATAATAGGGAACAATATTGTCGTTTTCATAACTTGAAAAGTGTTGAATTCTGATAATTCCTAAATGTTTTCTTGCAATAGCAGGAATTCACTTTTAAAAAGAACCCACAATTGAAAATAATTAGTTTTCAGAACAATAAACATGGATACCTAATGCATACTTCAGAAAAAGGTTAGAGGGTATCGTTGTAAATTGGGCCGTGTCTTACAGTCGTCTTCCTATCTCACATTTTAATAGGCCCCACTGTACACAGATTGTTTAAGGTTAGGGTTTCCATTCCCAAAAATTTTGCGCAATTTTTGCGGAACGAAACGCAAAATTTTTCTTTCTTTGCGCATCAGTTTTGCGCGAAAAAACAACAATTTGCGCAATCATTCGCAAAAGTCATTTCGCGCAAAATTACCCTATTCCGCTTTTGCGAAACTCAAGTTTTGCGCAATTCCGCAATTTCGTACCAAAATCCGAAACAGATTGTCCAGTAAAAGTCTCGACAATTTTAGTTTCGGACATGCATATTTCCTAAAAGTGGATTCTTCAGGCATTGGTTACTTTCTTGCATTATTTCATATGAGATAAAAAAGATTTCAGAAATTTGATTAAAAAAATTTAAGAATATAATTCATACTTGATTAGGCAAAGCTTTTAAGGGTCACTTGAAATTATTTAATAGGATTAAAATATTGCCAAGTTTCACACTCTCTAATTTCTATTTTATTAATTTTGGTCCCTTAATTTAAACTTTTTGTTACTGGAAGCAACCAATTGAGTGTAGTATAATCGTTATCATACTCGTATGTTAATATTTTTTTATGTATGGAATAAATCTTCAGTTGTTTAATTCTAAGCTTAGAATATCAATTTTTGACAATGTGCCTAAAAAGTTACATTTTGCGTAAAACTTGCGGTTTTGCGCAAATTGCGCAAAAAAAATTGCGCAAAACTAAAATTTCGTTTCATGCGCAACTTTCGCAAAAAAATATTTCCGGTTTTGCGCAAATTGCGCAAAAAAAATAGCGCAAAACCGCGCAAAACTCATTGCGTTTCATGCGCAAAAATGGCGCAAAAGTTCCCAAAAAAAAAATTGCGCGAAAATAGCGCAAATTTTGCGCAAAAAAGATTTAGCCATTTCGTGGAAACCCTATTTAAGGTACAGTCGACTGAACAGTGTCATTTTGTGTACAATTATTATATACAGTACGAGAACATGTTCCTTACATTAAAAATGTTTTATAAATGAATGCAACACAATTGATGGTTTAACTCAAAAAAACTAAAATCTAAAAAAATGGTTAAAAACCTGAAAAACCATGATCTGATAAGATTTAATTGAAAAAAATAAAAAAACACGTTTACCCAGCTTACATGTTAGTTTTTATGCCATTACTATTTTCATGGAACACTTTTGATTAAAATCCCTCTAACCAAAATATGCTATATATAGTATACGATGATTATGTACATGCGGTACATAATATGTCAAGTATTAACACTGTAAAATAAACTTTTCTGAAGATTTTGTGTTCTTTAGAAATGGGTTTAGTGTGATATCCCTCTCTCCTGAGACTCATTTTATCAAATGCAAACACATTTTCTCTCCTCGTAATCTTTTAGAATATATAAATATATATATATATACATATATACTAGGCTTCATCTTCTTTTTCAATTTTTAACATTTTCTCTTTTCTTTATTTATTTTGTAAATAAAAAAACTGAATATTTCGCGGATTTTATAGAAATTTTGTGGATTTTCTAAATTTAATGAAAATCGAATTTTGTTGGATGCAAATTTTAGAAATTTTGATCATCAATAAACCTTCCCTAGGGTCATGTGAAACAAACAGACAAGCAAAGTATATATATATATATATTTATATCATACATATAGTATTTTCAACTGTTTTCAGTTTAAATATACATTTTAGATGTTTAGCAATATATTTTTTCCAAGACAAAATGTTTCATGGGTCTAACCCAATCATCAGTTGGATTGAAATATATATGTATACATTTAGACATATATTTATATATTTATAGAATATATATATATATATATATATATATATATTTATATACCACCCTGGATTAACTAGGGATAGATGTGTTTGGTTTCTTAAATTCTCAATCGTGTTTTTTACTTGATTCAACAATATTAATACTTACAGAGTAAAAAGTGAAAAAAAAACTAAAGATTAAGTATTAGTCAAATTCTGATTAAAAGTTACGTTCGCTGTGTTTTTTTTAAGAATACTTTAAAAGTACAGTTGGTTTTTAATTTAGACACTTTTCTTTCTGAGTCTATTTGGAACCGAGTGCAGAATATTTTTTATCTCTATATATAAAACATATGAAGACATTCGTATATATGTTAACTATAGCCGGCCAAACGGCTGGACCGAATGGACTGAAATTTGTTGTGGATACTCATGGGTAGCCTGGGGTGACAAAGGCTGAAATTTTTTTTTATTTTTTATTTTTTTTCACGGGCAACACCGGCCCCTTCAGCTAGTAATTTGTACTACTGTTGGTGTTTGGAATATTCAAATACGTACTTTATAAAAGTATATTTTTATATGTACTTTATAAAAGTATATTTATATATGAATATACTTGAGGGAATACTTAACACTGGAACAGTATGATTCTTCTTTTTATATTTATGATAACATATTTCTATATACTATTAACCACTCTTAGGTTAATACCAGGGAGTAAAGAATAGAAGGAAGTCTGACGCGGTTCGCCCTACCAATTGATTTTACATGCTTTGCAGACGGTTCTTCATTTGAATAAGAAATATTTGTCTGATGTACAATTACCGCGTATACAAAAACCTATTCTGAATTGCACATTTGGGAAGTACCACTTGGGAAATTGTAAC